TATTCATCAGAAATATGGGGTTTTGAAAACACAAATATTATAGAAAAAATCCATCTTCAATTTTGTAAATATATACTAAATGTAAGAAAAAGTACACCAAATTTCATTGTTTATGGTGAGCTTGGAAGATACCCACTAGACATCGAAATTAAATGTAGAATAATAGTATTCTGGCATAAGTTGATTACCTCTAGTAAGTTATCAAGTACTATTTATAAGCTTATGTATACATTACATGAAAATGGAACTATGTTATTTAAATGGCTCGCATATGTTAAAGATATTTTTTCTCAAACTGGCCTGAACTATGTGTGGTACTATCAATCTACATGTTCTTTTTCAAAAGACGAAATTAAGAGGCTTGTGAAAAGTAGACTGAAGGATCAATTTATACAGAAATGGTTTGATAATATTCTTAACTCCTCTAGAGGACAAACATATTCAATATTAAAGACAAAGTTTGAACAAGAAAAATATTTAATTAAACTTAATACAAATGATAGGAAAATAATGTGTAAATTCCGTTCTTGCAATATGCATTTACCCATAGAAAAAGGAAGATGGTTAGGTATTCCTCGTCAAGAAAGAACCTGTACATTATGTAATTTGTACATTGGAGATGAATTTCATTACTTATTTATATGTGAAAGTGTTTTAGTTAAATGTCTAAGAGAGAAATATATACCAAAATATTATTTCACTTATCCAAGTCAATTAAAAATGCAAGGATTGTTTAATATATTTAATGTAAAAATTCACACAAAACTTTGTAAATTCATAGAAAAGCTTGAAAAAATATTAACTTAATTTCTGTACTATTTGTGTACTTCTATATGTATCTATGCTATGTACAATGTTGTAATTGTGTACATCACACGCCATGTATCATACTTACTATATGTATGTGACCTCTTGTTACACACGTAAGTGTGTCGGAGTGAATAAATAAAAACTAAATAATACATTGACCATTCACCTGAGGTCACATTTGATTCTGATCGAGGTCACATTCTGTGATTTCAAGGCAATTAAGTCCATGTCAATTTATCCAGTTCATTGTCTATCAATCACGTACAGCTGTATACAGGTAAATCAGTTCCAGGTAAAAACCTACAGGTAAAATACTTTGGCTGTCCCTCGATCAGCAAATAACAGCCCCAGACACAATTTCATTTCACAACATTGCCTTAACCAAGGTAAACTAATATTTAACTTGGAATTCCTAATTTTAAATAATCTATCATGAGTTCTGTTATCATCGAGCAAGGTTGAATACTAACCCTAATACGGAACAAACTTTTCATATCAGATTCTTGAAAATGATGATATTTTTCAGTAATCATTAAAAAAAATCATTATGAAGAAAACTTTATTGTCATCATGTGACTGAGTTCCTGAGAAAATAGAGCGTGATTCCTTATTGTCTATAGCAGAGACGTATATATTACAATACGTCTCTGTCTATAGTAAGTTTGTTAACGGAGTGCCCTCTATGTGTGTGGTAATTATAAAGATGTCAAAAATCAGTCAAGCGGTTCCGGGCTAGTGTACCTATGAACTTA